TGAGGAAACTGACACTATCTTGGAGGGGAAGCATCCGATTTTGATGCTCTGTGTCACAAATCCTGCATTAAAATTCAGGTCTGACTTTAGTCCCCATATTCTTTTTTTTGTGGTTTGTTTTTGATTATGTGTTTTTGTTTTGTTTTGTTTTTGAGACAGGGTCTCACTCTGTCACCCAGCCTAGAGTGCAGTAGCATAATCCCGGCTTACCACAGCCTCGACCCCCTGGGCTCAAGTGATTCGTCTGTCTTAGCCTCCCAAGTAGCTGGGACTGTAGGCACATGTCACCACACTCAGCTAGCTTTTGTATTTTTGTAGAGACGAGATCCTACTATGTTGCCCACGCTGATCTTGAACTCCTGTGTTCAAACGATTCTTCCGCCTCGACCTCTCAAAGTACTGGAATTACACATGTGAGCCGCAACACCCTTCTGTGGTCCCCATAATCTTATCTCCAAGCTGCCTCCCCCATTTAGAGACAAGAACTGAGACCAAAATAGTTTCAAGGATTTGTCTAAAGACACAGGGCAAGTGAGTGGTAGTGCCTGGACAAGAATTCTGGTTTCCCTCTTTCTAGTATACCAGATGTTTCCCTTTTCCCTCTCTAGGATGGCTTCGCTGACTAAGGCCTCCTTGCTTCAATAGTCTCCACTCACATTTGCAGAGTTTTCATTTTTGCAATCAAATTGTACTATACTTCTTCAAGTTTGTTCTATAACTAGTTCTCTGTCTGACAGATGTGTATATTTTTTCTCTCTCAAACGAGATTCTAAGCTCCTTAAATACCCATAACAGAAGCAACCATTTGCTGATCACTATGCTAAGTTCCTCATACATTTATCTTTCTGTATTAGTTATCTGTTGCTGTGTAACAAATTATAGCAAAATCAAATCACTTAAAACAAAAAGCATTCATTATCCCATGCAAATTTCAAGGGTCAGAAGTTTAAGCATGGTTTAGATGTGTGGTTCTGGCCCCTACATGGTGCAGTCAAGATGTCAGCTGGGGCTGCAGTTATTTGAACAGGCTTGCTTGGGACTGGGGAATTTTCTTGCAAGCTCAGTCATGTGTTGTTGGCAGGCCCCAGACTCACTGGCTGTTGGCCAGAGGCTTTAGTTCTTTGTCACATGGGACTCTCCTTGGGGCTGCTGAAAACATGTCACTAGAGCAAGTGATAGGGAGAAGGCTTATTCTTTTGTAATCTTATCTCAGAAGGCTTGTTCTGCCATATGCTACTGATCATGTAGACCAATCATGGTGAAATGTGGGAGAGTACTTCACAAATGTTAACTTCAGGAGGCAGGAATCTTTGGGGAGTGTCTTTGAGGGTGACTACCACACTATATACCCCTCGCAGTAGCCATATGAAGATAGGGGAGTTTAATTCATTGCCTGAGTATTACATTGCTTCTAAGAAGCAGTTTGGATTCTGACCCCAAGTTAATACACAAGCACACATCCTGTCTGGCACTCTACTGGTTCATTCAACAATCAACAAACCCCTACTAAGTGCTACACAACAGGGGACAAGCCAGCATGGTCCATACTATTATAAAGTTTACATTTTGATGAAGGAGATAGATGATAAGCAATGAAATGATTGAAATAATATACAAATAATCTCAAAGGCAGTGCTAGATCTCATCTGCCCTCACTCCTCCGCAAGGACACAGGGCATGAAGGACATGATGGATGAAGGAATAATCATATGGGCGGTAACTTGTAAACCCACTTCACATACTCAGAATGCTTCCCCTAGGTTCACAGGCCAAATCTACGTATAATTCTAGCTCTGCCTTTAATTTGCTGTGTGAGATTAATCAAGTCCTCCCACATTTCTGAGCCTCGGTTTCCCCTCTGTAAATCATCTTAGGAAGAGAGAGTAAAGGATCTGTAAGTTTGTCTGTAAAATACTTTAACGTAAAGGAAAGTGAGTGCAGTGGGCAGAGGACTAGAGCTGGGACTAGAGAGCCCTGACTCCATGTGCTCAGCTCCTGTGCTGAGAAATTTGGGGTGATGTCCTTTCAGTCTCTGAGCCTCAGTTGTAAAATAAGGAGATTAGGTCTGCTTTAAGCCCTTCATTGTCCCAAAGTCCTAAAACTGCAAGTCAGTCAGTCAGTAATTGACAGGGACGGGTGGGGGGATGGTGGGAATTACTTGCCCAGGAGACAGTTAAGAGCAGTCAGAAAGCCTGAAAAACCCTGCCACAACCAAGCTGTGTAACTGTCTCCTCAGTTTCCTCAACTGTAAAATTAGAATAATAATAGTACCTACCAATGTTAGTTTCCAGTGGCTGCTGCAAGAAATTACCACAAACTGTGTGGCCTAAGGCAACAGAAATGTACCCCCTCACACTTATAGAGGCCAGAAGTCCAAAATCAAGGTGATGTCTGGGGGCTTCTCTCTCTGGGGGTTCTAGAGGAGAATCCGTGCTTTGCCTTTTCTGGCCTCCGGTGACTGCAGCATGTACTGGTTTCTGCCCACATGGCTGTAATATCTGCCCCACCTCCACATTGCCTTCACGTTGGTGTGTAATTTTTCTGCCTTGTTCATGAAGACATTTGTGATGGCACTTAGGTTAACCTGGAAAATCCAGGAGAGTCTCCTCAAGAGCTTTGAATAATCCATCTGCAAAAAACTTGCCCATAGAAGTTAACATTCACAGGTTTCAGTTCCCAGGGTTTAGGACTGGGACATATCTTTGAGAGCAGTTATCAGCCGACCCTTCTACTTCATGTGGTTTGCTATAAGGATTGAATAAGTAAAAACAAGTGCTTAGATAATACTTGCAGTACAGTGAACAGTCTTAAAGAACAAAAGTGGTAGGGAATCAGTGGGGAATGGGAGAGCTGAGACTAATACCCATCCTAGGGACTTCCCATTACCTGGTAAGAAGGTCAGCCCTTCTCTTCAATGCTGGTCTCTGAGTCACTGCAGACAGACAGAACCCAGCTCCTAATACCCCAGCAAATGGCTACAAATGACCTCCTGATCAAGTGCCCTCCTGTCTCACAGTGAATGTTCATAGACAAGCAGGGGCCTCCTCTGAGCTTGTATTAATATGTACAGCACTTCACTCACATGGAAAATTGATTTTCCTTTTTAAGCACAAAATGTAGCAGTTTTATAACCTTTCTCCAGCTTGACAAAGGCCATTTATAACCTACTTTCTCCGTCACCCTTCCTGGCACCAGTCTCAAATGTCTTGAAGAACTCTCTTGTGCATTTGTAATTATAAATTCTTCGTAGGCAAAATTTAATTTCCAAGAAGGCTGACCTTTTGTTTTTGTTATTGTAGTTTTTGTACATTAATTTCTGTGTGTGTGTTTTGTTATTGATGTTGTTCGGGACAACGGCTTGGGGAGAGGAGTAAGGAATCGACAGGGGGAGTGGGGGCACAGTGGGAAGGCATTTTAATCAGTGATGTCCAATGATGGATGAGGAAGGTTGGGCTCTGGGTGTTAATCTTTGTGGGTAGGAAATGCCAGCAGGGTACTGAAATTAAAGCCTAGTACCTCATTTTCTCTTCTGAAAGCAGGAGTGTTGGAACTGCTTCTCCATCAGCTTGTCTGGAGGAGATGAGCTCAGCCTCATCAAATGATGGAAAACTAAATTAAACAAAGAACCAGTTGTCCCCACAACCTTCCACTCATGGAGCACTGAGCATGTGTCAGACATGCTAACATGAGCATTTCAGCTGAGGTTGTTGAAGGTTGGGCTCCTTGGGGCTTGCTAAGGGACCAGAGGATTGGGGAAGGAACATACACATGACCAAGCAGAGCATTGGAAAACCTATATAAAGGGAGGACCTTGATTATCTGCTTAAGGAAGATGCATTTTTTTTAATCCATTTATTTATTCAAGTGGGGGAGTGATGCTATTTAAATATCAACTGGTGGCCATTTGGAGGATGGTTTTGAGGAGGCCAGCAGATTGGTTAGGAGTCTTTTGCTGTTGTGAGTATACAGGAATCTCACTTAGGGCTTCAAGGACAAGGGCATAGAAGAAGGGACCAATTCAAGACAAGGAGGAAGATAATCCATATTTTATGAGTGTCAAATCCTGAATTAAGACAGATGCCCCCATCACCCAATTTAAGCTTCACAACAAATGTGTAAGTGCAGCTGTTATGCTCATTTAATAGATAAGAACATTGAGGCTCGGAAAGGGCGAGAAACTTACCTGGGTCACACAATGAAAAGAGAAGAGCTGAAATTTAAACTCATATTGGTAGGGCTCTTTAAAATAGCCCTGATTACCTCCCTAAGTGACCTTGATAGCAGCAGCCCCTATCATGCAATAACAATAAAACAATAATGAAGATGATCTCAGCAATGTCAATATTATTATTATTATTACTATTATTTTATTTTTATTTATTTATTTTTTTGAGTTGGAGTCTCACTCTGTCGCCCAGACTGGAGTGCAGTGGCTGCTTCCAGTCACCACAGCCTCGACCTGCTGGGCTCCAGTGATCCTTCCGCCCCAGCCTTCCAAGTAGCTGGAACTACAGGAGCGTGCTACCACGCCTGGCTAATTTTTTGATTTATTGTAGAGATGAGGTCTCGTCAAGTTGCCCAGGCGGGTCTTGAACCCGCGGGCTCAGGCAATCCACTCACCTCAGCCTCCCAAAGCACAGGATTACAGGCTGAACCACCAAGCCCGGCTAATGTCAATATTATTAGCAGCCAACATTTGTTGTGTGGTTGCCATGTGAGCCCGTGCTCTGAGCACTTTGCCAACATTATTACCCTTTATTCTCTCAAGGCTACAAGCAGATAGTTGCAAAAGCCCCATTTTATAGGTGAGCATATTGAGGTTCAAAGAAGTGAAAAACCTTGTGGGACTTTTTACTCAGATATTTGTTGACCAAAGGGGAAATTGAACGCCTCTCTGTCAGTACTTGACAGATATCTCTTTCAGAAGGTGGGAGGAGAGGGCATGGTGGGGCCCGCCACCTCCTCAGCCATAACCCCCCTGTCATCCTTTCTCCGAGCAGTGCCCTGAGGAGCTGAAGCCCATGAAGGATGGCTCTGGCTGCTACGACCACTCCAAAGGCATCGACTGCTCCGATGGCTTTAATGGTGGCTGTGAGCAACTTTGCCTGCAGCAGACACTGCCTTTGCCCTATGATGCCACCTCCAGCACCATCTTCATGTTCTGCGGGTGAGTCTTCATCCCCAGGGCCCAGGTGCCGCCTCATAACAGCAAGGGATGCATAGGGAAGTGGTGGGGCAACTACAACTGGGCCAAACTGGGTCTGACCTTCCAAGAAATGGACTTTCTGCCTTTCCTGTTTCAGCTCAAGAGGCAAAGGCAACAGTGTGAGCTTCTGTTGGTTAAGTATTGGAAATAATACTGGATTAAGAAAAATAAATACATGATTGATAAATATAATAAATGGAACACATGCCCAGGTTGCATCCTAGGGTCAGGATATTTTTTACTGCTGCAGTCCTGACCAGCGCAGTGTGGAGACAAAACAGGCATCTGAGAGGGAGTTCACAAAGCTTTTCGTGTGGTACACCGAAGCATAGGCTAAGCCCAGGCTCCAAACTCAGTTTCTGCCAGAATTGAGCATTGTGAGTTTGGTGTTCAGCCACTCTCTGCACTAGTGCCCGTATCTGTAAGGACAATAACATTGGTCAGGGAGGGTTTAACAGAAACAATGCAGGTAATGTTTGCAGTACAGATTCTGGTTCATGACCAACTCAAACTGAGTTTTAAAATTAGTATGAGGGCTAGATGTATTGGTGCATGCCTGTAATCCCAACACTTTGGGAGGCTTGAGGATAGGATTTCAAAACCAACCAGGGTAACATGGTGAGACCTTGTCTCTATAAAAAAAATCTAAAAGCTAGCCAGGCATGGTGGTGTATACCTATAGTCCCAGATACTTGGGAGGCTGAGGTGGAAGGATTTCCTGAACTCAGGAAGTTAAGGTTGTAATGAACAATGATTGTGCAACTGCACTTGAGCCTGGGTGACAGAGTGAGACTCAGATCCAAACAATTAAAATTCAATAAAAAATAACTGAAATTAGTGTGATACTGAAAGGGGAGCACTTTGGGGCCAACTTGCTGAATGACCTGTGACAAGTCACTTTCTCTGTGGGCTATGGTTTGACCATCTGTGAAAAGAGACCTTTGGGCAATGACAGCTGACGCTTTTTCTAACTTCCCTTGTTTTCCATGTAGAGGTATTGCATTGTACCTCTGCCTTCATTGAACAGCTCCTGGCATAGCATTTGGTCCTCAGTCATCACCAAGAAAATAGCAACCTTTTTTCTTCTCCTCTTCATTCCCTTTCTGATTATGTCTTTGTATTAGAAAATGTGCTCATCTTTCGACATTCCATGACTCAGAAAAATAATCCTGTGCTATGGGAGAAGTATGCTCAATGCTGTCTTTACTAAGATAGAAAAGCAAAATATGACATTTAGCAACCTTTTCAGTTCTACATTTTGCACAAAAAAGGGGGAGGGGTGGGCATGTGTATGGGTTTAATTCCAGATTACCAGGAATTTATTTAACTTGCACAGTTCTAGCATACGGAGTCCAGTTTTCCTTGCAGGGCTTATTTCAGCATCTCCTTTCCTGCCCTCGTTGTACTTATGGCTGCAGGTGTCTCTGTGCAGGTGTTGAAGCAGCTCACTGGAGGCCCTAGATATGTATCAGTAAAATAAATAAGAAATAAATTAGGATATGCAGACCTGAATTTATAGCGGTCTCTCCTCAGCTTAAGTGACTGCAGGGCAGTGTTGAGTAAATTATGCATGGCTTTAGATCTGTAGGCTTGCATACAGAATCAGCCATGTTCTTATCATTGTTATTTTTCTCTCCATGTGCTTGGGGGCGAGGGGGGTGTTCTTCTGTGGCAAATAACAACAGTAACAGCAGCAGGTGCAGCAGTAATGGATTTTGACTTCAGAAACGATTACCACCTTCCATCCACAGCACACGACAGGGAACCTTGGATTCAACAGACATGAATTCTCAACCCAGCTCTCTCACTCTCTCAGAGACACCAGGCATGCCACTCGGCCCCTGACCTTCAGTTTCCTCATCTATACAATTGTAATAATACCTACCTTTATTTAGTGATGGTTGGGAAGAGTTCAAAGTATTTTACATGTTTTAATCCCATGAAGGTTGAGTAACATGCCCAAGGTCATATGCCTAGTGATGCAGCTCATTGCCGCCTCGCTGTGTAACCTTGAACAAGTTACTTAATGTCTCTGTGCCTCAGTTCTCTCATCTGTAAAATAGGGATAATAGTGATATCTATCTATAAAGATGTTATGAGGGCTAAATACATTACATAGTTTACATTCTAAGTTACATTAATATTTGTAAAGTGCTTTACAACAGTGTCCTGCACAGACTTAGCACTATATGTGTTTGTTAAATACAATAACTAAAATGAATGATCCTGATGACATTGGCTAGTGACCTGATGCTCTAAATTGGATGAACTAACCTCTATCATGAAAGGTTTATGAAAGTCTCAAATAAGATTGTGTGGATGAGAGTGTGTTGTGAACTGTTAAAGGCCATACAAATGTTGATAAACAAGACAAAAGAAAATAAGAACCAGGTCTCCTAACCAATAGTAGTTGCAACATACTTTGGAAATTGTCTATTAAAGATGCAAATGAGAAGTTACCCACACTTGTTAGAAGCACTGTAAACAATGAAAGCTATTAGCAGGTACTTGGGAGAAAGTTGATTGAGAGAGAAGTGGGATGCTATTGAATTAAGCAGGGAAAACAAAACAAGCCCTGACTCAAAGGGACCTTCTCAACTTGTTCAAAGCTCTATGACCTTTCGAGAGTATTCTGAGTAGTAACAAGTTTAATAAATCTGTTTGCAATCAGGTTAATAACAGCAGCTAACATTTTAATTTTTATTTTTTAATATTTTTTATTATGGTTTTGTGGGGTACAGTTAAGGGTTAGGTGTACAAGTATGTTTCATTCAGGCACCCTGTTGATAAGAGGTGTTTCCCCATCCCCAGACAGATATCTGCTACTGTTAATCCCATCTCCCTCCACCCCATAGTTTCCCAGTACCGTCAGTCATTTTCTTATAGTATTACATTGGATGTTCAAGGTCCATTATATGAGTGAGAACATGTGATACTCGGATCTTTGTTTCTGTGAGAGGTCACTCAGTATTAAAGACTCTAGTTCCATCCAGGTTGCTGCGAAATTCATGATTTTGTTCTCTTTTATGGCTGCGTAGTATTCCATCGTGTTTATTAAAGCATTTCCTATGTACAATGACTGTTATAAGGGCTTTGTGTACACAGCTCTTTCCAGTCTCATAACTCCATAAGGGATATACTATCACATTTCCCATTTTATTGTTAGGAAATCAAAGCACACAGTGGCTCATGACTTGCTTAAAGTCAACAGCTGGTAAGCAGGATCATCAGGATTCAAACCCAGGCCTTATGGCTCCAGTCTAAGTCAATACAGATTTGATGTCCTGTGGTTCCGGGCAAGTCACTCAATTTCTGTGAACCTCTGTTCTTTCATGTAGAATCAGAAGTTACTGTAGCAGCATTGTGAGGATTAAATGAAATTATACATGCACAGGGGCTGGCACACTTAATTAAGCACTCAGTAAGCCATAGTCATAATTAGCCTAATAGGTATAAAACCGTCTTACTTAATTATTCAATTAGTGAATTGTGTGTCTTGTTTACTACTCTATCTCCAGCACCTAGAGCAGGACCCAGCACATAGTAGGTGCTCAATTAATCATTGTTGGATGAGTCCAGGTGTGGTGGCTCATACCTATAGTCCCAGCACTTTGGGAGGCCAAGGTGAGAGGATTGCCTGAGCCTACGAGTTCGAGAATAGCCAGGACAACTTGGTGAGGCCTCATCTCTATAATATATTTTTTAAAAAAATTAGCTGGGCGTGGTGGCACACACCTGCAGTTCCAGCTACTTGGAAGGCTGAGGTGGAAGTATCGCCTGAGCCCAGCATGTCGAGGCAGCAGTGACCATTGGTGTGCCACTACACTCTAGCTTGGGCAGCAGAGTGAGACTTCAACTCAAAAAATAAATAACTGTTGGATGAAGTTTCTACATTGGTGTAGCTAAAGAAGTTCCAAGTCTGACCTTTCAAACTGTATTTCCAGCTAAGTTCCTCTTTCTGGGTTAGGCCTCTTGACTTCAGCGTTTAGAGCTTTCACAGCACTGTTCCCCTGTTTCCCTCCTCCCCTGTGCCCCCGCTGGCCCCCATTTGTCCTTGACTCTTTAGCTTGACCTTCTCTGTCTCCTGTCTAACTCTCAGTGCAGGCTTCACCTTCTCAGCAAGTCTCTCAGTCCCAAGGGGTTCAGGAGTGAGGTGTGCAGTTACCCTGGAGCTAGGAAACAGTATCCATCCTTTCAGATGATACCATTTAAATATTGGCTCAGTCTTGAGTGGGGTTAGGGCACCTACTGAAAGAACTTGTTTTTCTTGTCTTATTTTTGTTTGTTTGTTTTTTTCATTTCTACCTACAAAGCCTGCTTACAAAGGAGAGGGATTATTTGCATTTTGTCTGGATTCTAATTTATTCTCGTGAAATCTTCACATCTCTTATGGACTAGACCTCTGGCTAGCTGACCTGATTGTTAGCGCTTCAGCAGGGCAAGTTTCCCAAAACTGAGTGAAAGCATTTTTTCTCTGAAACTGCACAGCCTCCTCTGTCTCTCCCAGTGGTGGCCCCATTGCTCCACGGACTCACCTGCTTTCCTCTCTAGTCCTTTCACACTGTGAACTACTCATGATTAGGGATTGTGTCTAAGTCATCTGTGTGTCTGCATTGCCATTCCCCCTGTTGGACTCTCCGTGCCCAATCTTTTATGAGGTGCAAGTAAACATTGAGTTCAGTGTCCTCCAGGGGAAAAGGGGACACTGAGGACAGGTGGCTGAGCCTTACTTGGTCCTGACTTGAGGGAGCACAAGTCCCATAATGGTAGACAGAAGCTGGTAAATTCAAGATAGGTTGAGAAGGTCACTGGACACTAAAATAAGTATTTAGAATGAATCTTTACAATCAGTCTTAAAGGTGAGAGAGTGTCACCTCCTGCAAAGACCTTGGCAAGTTACCTGGCGACCAAGTTTGTTTCGTTCGTGTGTGTGTGTGTGTGTGTGTTTACAATGTCTACCT